TGCTAGGAATGTGACATCCTGTTCATTTAATATTGAACTGGTATAAGAATGTCCATGCTGTGTAACACCTACTTATTTCTACTCTAAGTATGAAGTTTGTACTTGGTGTTGACTTTCAAGTATCAGCCTTGCCATCAGATGCACCAGCCCGAAATGTCAGAGCATCTGGATCTGCAGTAATGTGATGGTGTCCTATAAAGCCCCTCAAAAAACTGGACATGTTTCTGGGCCTAATGCCAAATTCCTGCCCAGTCTTGCCCTGGATTTTACATGTGTTCAATGTATTCAGAAATAAAAGGTCTCATGTACATGAAATGTGCACTTGAATTATGGGAACAACATCTGTTGCCCAGGTCTATATTAAAGGAGTATCATTTTGTGTACATAATTATATTTTCTAAAATTGCTGCAGAGCACTGTCTGAAGCAAAGCTGCACTCACAAGGACAGTAAGGCAGACACCTGATAAAGTAGAGAGCAGTGGTTGTTCCCTCCAATGGGTGAGCGCTGATGAGGATTTAACATGATTTAATTGGATTGATCAGAGCACGAATCCTTAAAATATGTTTTTCAAACTCACCCTCCTTGTTTGTTGTTATGTATCTAAAGGCACTGTTAATCCAATAGTTATCACCAAATTGTTGAGTGATTAGTAATTCTGATTCTTCTAATAGAGAGCAATTTCCATGTCTAATCCTGCTAGTACATGACTTTGTTTCTGCTTTTAAAGTTTATTAAATAAAGGTGAGTATATAGATTTCTTTTTGCCAGGTGTATAGATTCCGTTTGTGTTTAATTTTCTGTATTGGGAAACTGCTATAACATTTTTTTCACATGTGGCAATAAACAGGTTTACTTTCCTATTTTTTAATTGTTACTGTGCTGCATGTCGTGGGTGATTTTCAGGGGTATACAAAGTGAAAAACTAAATCGTTATATTTTAAAATTCAAAACTCAAGTTACTTTTCTGTCTTATGGATGGAGTCTTTTCCCAGTGCTAGAACTTGAAAAAATGGCTGATTGTCAAAAAGCTAAATAGCTTTATATGTGTTGTCAAAACATCAGTCACACAACTTATTAAACAGCATGTGATTTTTCTTTTTGATTCCTAAATCAATAATGTCAAAGTATCTTGTGTCTAAACTTCAGGAATTTGATCAGTCTGCTTAATTTGCTTAAACTGAGTCACTTTATCTGCTGAGGAGGTTTTACTCTGATGCATGTTTGTTAGTCTGGATGCAAAAATGCATTTCTTCAGTTAAGAAATAATTCCCTTCTCTGATGCTAAGGGAATAGAAATTTTAATATAGTAGGACTTAATTACCTAGAATAGTAGATTAAGGTTTTGCAAATTAATGACTTACTATTTTGAAACAGTTATCTTGTGAAACATCTTAATGTAAATGCAGAATTTTGGTGTGTCACCTTCTGACATGTAACAGTAGCTTTGCATATTTCTTTCAGAGATTTTGAAAATATGAAGATAATAAATGATGACTAATGTACACCATCTGGCTAGGGTGGGGGAAAAGATTTCCTGAGCAACAGGGTTTCTGCTAAGCTGATTTACTTAAAATAAGAAAGCAAATGCTTGCTTTTCTTTTTCTTTCTTTTTTTTCTTTTTCTTTTTTTTAGAAAATGAAGTTCCAATGATTCCACCTAAACTCATAGGGTAATGGTAGCCTTTGCTTTGTGCTTCATGGTCATATCAAAGGCAAACTCCATGAATTCCATGAGAAAAGCAGTTTATCTTATCAGTCCTCTTGTATCATATATTCAGAAAAAGATTGCTGAGACTTGAAGATTTCGAGCAGCATTAATAAAAGTGTCAGACAGCCTTGCTGGAATCAGCTGCCTGTAAGGAGAGATGACCTAGCTTTATCAAATCAGTGAACAAACAACTATTAATCTATACAGCCTCAGGATTAGATCCTTCAGAACGCAGACATATTGTTGTGCTTCATATCTTCCTTGGGTTTACAGCTGTCACTTTTTTATGCTAATTTTATGATGGAGGGTAGAACTAAATGCAATAATAGATATTAGAGTTTATGTATAAATTATGCTTGGATCTCTGCAGTTTCTTAGAACCAAAACTGCCTTCTTGGTTTCTTTTAACAGAGATTTTCTTTTGCAAGCACTCAATACGTACTCTCAGGTATCTCATTATTTTGTGTAGTTGTCTTTTTTAGTGTTCCTACTTCCATTTTGAATGAACTTAAGTGTTCACTTGAATATATCAACTAATTTGAACAAAAATATGTTTTCTGCACTCTGGAGAAAAGAGAACAGATAAATGCTTGCATCAAAACTGCAGTCTTGAATCTGTATTTTGAATTTATCTCTTACTTTTTTAGTTTAATTTTCCTAAGTCAACTCTGCCTCTGCAACTCTTTCATTAGTACTGAAAATTAAATGTTATTTACTCTTGAGTAGTGGTTGCTTAAGCTCTGGATGCACAAGGTGATGTGTGGCCTACAGATGTATCAGAGTTGCAGAGGCAAAAATTGATGTCCATAGTGACCAGCAGGAAATTATCCAAGTGTGAGAAGAGACCGCCAGAGCCTTCCTGAGGGTGAGCAGGTTGTTAACTCTGCAGTTTGCGTGAGAACATCTGTTGGCTGCCTACTCATGAAAGGGCCAAAGGGTCTGGGAGGAAAGCACAGCCTGGACTTTGAATGTTGTTAACTGTGGGCCCAAGTCAATCATCTGGTCTCTGTGGAAGACACAGGTTGTGCTTTTAAAATAAATAAATAAAGTGTGAGAGCATGAAAGGGAAGAAAGCAGGAAGGGAGGAAAAATGAAGCAGTGAAGATTTGGAATTTGTTTGGTTTAAATGAGAACAAATTTAAGTTAGTGCCCACTGTGGCCTCCAGGTCCTTTCTCAGCCCTTTGGTGTGGAATTATTTAACCCAAGGTGCAGCACTTTCCTTGCTGAGATTCATATGGCTTCTGTTGATGCAGCTGTCAGGGTTTCTTATGGCCTGTCTGCCAAATGACACACACTGACCCTAAGCCCACCGGTGAGTTTCAAAATGAGATTGTTCTACATTCCGTATGGCTATAATTTAATGTCTGCAATAGTTTTTAGGAAATAAGAAACACTCCTCCTTTCATATGTGAAATAAGCAGGAATGAGACCAATATTATTTTTCAAAGATGGATGGTAAATGATAGGCCAGGGTTGTTCAGATTTGTCCCATTAAAGTGAGCTGCAGGGCTGTGTGACCATTAACAAAGTTGTGTAGCTTTGGCACTGGGGCTGGTGTTTAGCCCAAAGAGCAGAAGAGCATTGGAATATTTTTTGAAGGGGATCAGTGAAGAGCAAAGATGGGTTTTAGGATGGAACTGGTACATTAATGGATGGAGTTAAATTACATGGTTGCCTATAAAACAGGACTGTGGACATAGGGACCCATGATGTTATTTTTGGATCAGAAGGTCCCATCCAGTCCTGGATCCTGTGTTCCTTTTAAATGAAGAAGCAGTTGAAATTTGGCATAGATGAAGCATATATGTTTTGTCTCACATTTTCTTTTACTACTATGATTTTGATACATATTCTGCCCATGGCAAATGACAACCATAATATTTTTGTCTTCCTTATGTTTTCCTACATTATTTATCTTCCTATAACCAAGCTGCAATTTTAGTTGTTTGCAGGGAGACAGAAATATCTGTTATTGTGGAATGTGTGCGTGGTAGGATTTCCTGTATTTAGGCATTTCTGAGTGTGTTTCTCAGGAATGCTGATAATTCATATTATTGTAATCTTTGTGGTGCTCTCTAGCCAAAGAGATCTTGGTGGACTTTGGTGCACAAGACATTCACTTTTCTTGTGTGAGGCTACTTCACTCTTGTTATCTAGCAACTGTCCTCATTGATTGGTGATGGTTATGTATGAAAGTGCCAAGCTGTGTGACAAATAAGGAATGTGTATTTTTGTGTGTAACAAATAAGGACAATGTATTTCTGTGTGTAATGTTGGTGGTCTATTTGAGTAATGATAGTAGAAGACTAATCCTGAGTGGTTATAGTCATATATGTAATTAACCTTATATGTGATAAATGAGCAGCATCATGTGTTCCTGAACAGGTTTAAAAACTGAAACATACTCTTTGTGCCTTTAATTCTTGGCTGTAATATTTGAGTAGCAACAGATAAGTAAACAAAATGTTACAGAATATAATAAAATAATCTCATCTGAAGGTAAAAAGAACGGAGATGTTAACTGCTCTGTTTTGATACTGGTGACTTCTACAATTTACCAAGTCAAGCATACTAATAATATTTTTGGGGATTTCTTCTCTCTAAATTATCTAGTAAGCTAGGAAAAGGTATTCAGTATATAGCTCTGAAATAAGAATTTTGGTAAAATGCAGAAACTAACAACATTTAAAAAACTATTAAATCTGATGTTGGAGCTTCAATGATACACGGTGGTTGTACAGTACCTTAAAGTTTCTTCAAATATAGTAGGGTATTTTAAAGAAATTCTGGTTATATGGAAGGAAGAATAAGTCAATTCAAGATTAAAAAGTTGCAAGATAATGTAAAATTAAATATTAAACAATTAAAACTTTTTGATTAGTGAAAGGAGGTATACCACTTCCAAGTGGTATACTATTCCAATATCCTTCCAAGGATATTTCCAGGGCTCTGTTCTACAGCATTTTCTGGTTATAATGAATGCAGAGAATCCTATTGACGTGGATGGGACTGTTTGCTTTAGCACAGGTACGGTATGCTTCCATGTTTGCAGAAATAGCTTTTTTTTTTTTCCTCACAGAATGTGAAAACAAGAAAAACTTGTGCAATTATGTAATTATAACCTTGTCAGTACAGTTATCATTAAGTGTTATGCAATTAAAACCTGTGAAATAAACTGCCATGAAGGTATTTCCTTAGTGCTGATCAGTACCCACTTGTTGCAAATTGTCAATAGTCAAAAGAGCTGTTACATTCATTATCTTTCATTGTACTTTTTTTGTCTTCCACAGGAAAAAGTAGAATATGCCTTCCTGATAATTTTTACAGTTGAAACATTTTTGAAGATTATAGCATATGGATTATTATTACACCCCAATGCATATGTTAGAAACGGATGGAATTTATTGGATTTTGTAATAGTAATAGTAGGGTAAGTAGCTTATCTTCCATTATACAAATATTTAAAATTTTCTTTACAGTGAGGTAGGTATAGGCCTGTTTGGCTATGAGTAGCAGCCTATGCTGGATTTCTGTTTCTTTGGAGTAAAGGAATGAACTGAGGGAAAAAAATTTAAAAAGTCCGAAAGTTTTCAGTGCTATCTCTTGCTATAGACTGCATTGCATTTATAGTAGAAGTTCCCAGGGAATTCTGAGTCCTGCTGGAGATTTCCAGAGTTGTTTTTCAGAAACTTTTCTATCTGATTTTTTCAAGGTAAACTCCTGGTGTCTTTCCATGTGCTGATCTCTTAAGGGCCACACGTTACTTATTTGTTTAACCCTTCACTGCAGTTATGTGGAGCTCATCTGTTTCACAAAGACCTCTGGGAGGGCCCACATGTTTCAAAGTGGAGAAGAATGGTTGGGGAGACAGAATTAACAGTGATTCCTTGATATTCCCAAAATCTGAGTAAAATTGGGTGCTGCATGTCAGGCCCCAGATAGAGATATGGTTTTGATTTGCCTGGGATAGAATATATGTTAAAAATGCCTTTTATTCTTTACCCTGTGCACCTTGCTGTACCAGGAAACCTCAGAGTTTGTTCTTTGCCCCAGAGAAGGGACTGCTATGGCCTTATGCCTGTTCAGAAGAGTGGAACTTACATTATCCACCTACTTATTGATAAATTATTTTTGTGTCAGCAGCTCTATGTCAGTGGTTGTGCTACTTCATTAGAGCCTACCTTCATCTGTCTAGGGAATTAATCTTGAGAGTAACTATTCACCACTTTCCCAAATGTTGTGGAGATTATATTAAAAAAACTGTTCAACCAGAACTTTAAATTTTGTTTTCTTAAAGTATTTATTATCTAGAACATAGAGAGCATTATCCATGTATAACTTTGTATGTAGTAGCAAGCATGACCTTGGCTTGCAGTGCACAATTCTAATTTCGTTTTTAAATTCAAACCATACCAAGGTCTGCCTGTAACTGAAAAGGCTCAGAAATTAGAGTGTGTACTGCTTATAAGTTGTCACTGCATTAAGGGAAAGAAGGAGATGCCAAGTAAAGGAATTTGTGGCAAAGCATTGTTTAATTTGGGGAAGTACTGTGAATATAAGAATTCCTGATTTGTAACTATTTGATTATGAGTTACTAAATGTTACTGAGAAGGTTGTATTTGGGCCAGTCCTTTGGCATGCAGGCAGTTGTGGTGCAGGACTAAAAATTGTGTATAAATAGATGCTTCATCAGGTCAGGTCATTCTCAACAGATTGGTCTCTGTGCCTGAAGGGGAAGCTTGGTGGGCAGGTTGGAGACTGTCACACACGAGCTCTGTTCCCTTGCCAAGCAGTCACTTGAATAGACCTCTTCTCTTTTGTCAAGTGACCACGGAGTTACAGTAACCCTGGAGCAGTCTAATTAACATGACCTCTATCTTTGGCTGTGTCCTAAATACATGATAACTAAAAAATTTTCCACTAACTCCTAAAACACTTATTATTGGAGGCTAAATGTAGTTAGGTCAAATACTCACACCGAATTAGCTGAAAATACAAATAGAAAAAGACTAAATCTTATCAAGTGCCTAAAATACCACACTAAAATTAAGTTGTACTTCAAATCCAAAAGTTTGGAATATAAACTCTTGTGCAGGTTGTCATCAGCCTTCCTGTAAGACAAGGTGGACCTTTCCTAACATGTCACACACTGACAAAACTGTGAGCAATGTTTTTGTTCTTTCAGTAAGAACACAACCTGCATGATTAAGCAAGCATGAGTCCCATTTATTTAATTAATACATAAAAGCCTAGTGAAAAATTGATTTTCATATATAACCCAAGGTGGATATGGAATCACTTCTGGACCTGATTCTATTTGACTAGCTTCAATGGGAAATTTCATTAGGTATTCTAATAGCTTTGAAAGAGCTGCCATGATGTCCTATATTGAATGTATTGAAATCTGCTTTCTCAGCAGAAACTGTAGCAGTCCAATTGCATTAATCTTAATTACATCTAAAGAAATACCTACAAGCAAAAGGGAAACACATGTAGAGATGTTTTTAAGGTCAAATCTTAATTAAACCTTTAAACTTTGGTAAACTGTAGAGGAATAGGGATGCAAATTTCAATAAAGAAGATCAATAGTTTTATACCTTAATGGCTTTTTAGGAATGACATATGTCCTGGTTTCAGCTGGACAACACAAAATGACAGAGCTGGAGACAGAGCTGTGAATGTGATGCTTTCTACTCTTTGTCACTTCTCTCTGTAACCCATCAGAGTACAAATTACTTTGAGTAGTCTACTTACCTTCCTGGTCTCATGTAATTTCCACTGATGTCTGTGAAAGAATAAGGTCCCAGTAGATAAAGCTTTCATAGTACCTGCCCTTTAATTTTCTGAATGTTGTATGAACTGACAGGCTGAAAGGTTCTCTGAATTCAGGAGTTGATTCAGAAGACTTTTCAATAATGTCTGTCTTTAGAGCACAAATAGTGACTCTTGAAATCATAGAGGTGTTTGTTTTCCTGCAATTATGCTTCTCTTAAGTTGTAGGGCTGAATCAGGACCTGATACTCAGTGTCTGGAATTGGTGTAACAGGATGTGGGCTGCTGATGTTCCTTGTGACATCTGTAGAGTTTTTGGGGCTGAGTTTTTCTCTGGAGCAGGATGAAGCAGTCTAGGGATGGATATTGACTGATGTGGGTCAGCTGCTTACTGGGGGGGAGGGTAAAGCCTTCAATAATCTAGTTTAGGCAACCTATTAAATAATACATGATTTTAAGCAACTACCCAGCATGAAAGAGCTCTTAGCCAGAGCTGTGAAAACTTTTCATGACCAAACTGAAACCCTGCACATTTCAGGCATCCTTTACAAGTGTGAAATGCTTCTCATGATTGCAAAACTCTATTAACTTGATAATCCTTTCAGGAGAAGTGCAGCTCCGCAACTATAGAACTACAGACTCTGTGCAAAGGATAATATAGTTTGTGTGGTCTAGTGACAGTCTAGAAACCCATGCATCTGAGATGGAGCTCCAAACTAAAATAAACCTAAGATTAATTTGAATTTCAAGAACATGCATCACTTTAAATTGCTGCTAAAAGTGGGAAGGCAAAATAAGTCTTGTCTTGCAAACTGTTCTAATAAATGACTAATTCATTTCTGCAGGGAAAAAAATACAATATAATAAATGAGCCATCTGGGAATATATTTTTCCTCAGAGGTGTTATGTGTAAGAAACAAATCTTTTTGGTGTTATTAAATGGTGAACTCTAATTATTTTTAAAATATTCAGTTTCTGCTGACTGTATGTAGAATATTGCACTGCTGTGCTACTTGGAGTTCATGTATTCCACCAAAATTAAACCAGATGGTTTTAGTTATTATCTATTTCTTCTTGTAAAGGGAAGATTAATTCTCCAAATGTTAAAGCTAAAATGTTTGAACAAAAGTGGCAAAGTAGCTTCATTTATTTAAAAATAGCAAAATGTGTATATAAGCTGAATGCTAAATTATTGGAAACTGTGTGATCCTCATTCTCTAGAGGGATTATAAAGTCTTGTGCTTCATAGCTCCGTCTGTCATGATTTAATGTGTAAATATACCTCTCAATTTGACATCTGAACAGCTTTGCAGAATGATCTGCAGTTCAACTAATTTCTGAAGTAATACCTTCGACTGCATGGTAAATGGATAGTGATGACCTTGCCTTTCATCTCATTTTCTAGATTATTTAGTGTAATATTGGAACAATTAACCAAAGAAACAGACGGTGGCAGCCACTCAGGTGGCAAACCTGGTGGCTTTGATGTCAAAGCCCTAAGAGCCTTTCGTGTACTGCGACCTCTCCGACTTGTATCAGGAGTGCCCAGTAAGCTCTGCTCTCTTTATTTCCATTGCCATCAGGAATGTGAGTGCTCTGGTTATTGAACTGTCTTCTTCCAGACACTGCAGAAATGAGATGGGATACAGCTGAGTTTTTATTATCTGGATATGTATACAAAGTGAATTTCAAGATGAATGATACCCTATTTCAAGTTGAACGAGGGATTGTGAATTCAGTCAGTGAATGATCTCCTTACACAGTTCAATAACCAGACAGAGGAATACACTTTCTTTATAGAACTTTTATATAAAAGTAAATGATATGTTAAGATGCAAATACACCAAAAAATAAAATTTGTTTTTTTTTATTCTAAACCCCTGCCTCTGAAAGTGTAGGTGGTCCTAAAATAGTTTATATGTTGGTAAGTGTATGCCAGGGCACATTACACATTTTGTGTTTCCTGCCCCCTCCAATGCACATGAGTGCCTTCTTTTTATCTCAGCAGAGCTAACAGATAAATTAGGAAGCTCAAAAGTAGAAGAATATTGTTTAAGAAAGAAATTGAATTTTCTGATATTTCCCATTTTATTTTAATGCTTTACTGAATATCGAAGCTATTTGGGCTATAGGAGGTTCATGACTTCCAGTTCAGCTCTTTCCAAGGCATTCAAAGGAAGAAAGCTAATTCTGTGTTTATTGTATCATGGACTGTAACATGGAAGTGATTGATTTTTTGCAAAAAGGCTTCAGTGAGGACAGAATCATTCCTATGAAATCTCAGAGAGGAAGTCTATCAAGATAAAAAAGAGTCATATTTTATTCCCATTGGCACTTTATTAGTCTGGGATTAGCTCATTTTGGTAAAGCCAAAAGCTGGATAAATATTTAATTGAAAAAAAAGAAAATAGAGCAGTTTTGAAAGGGATTAATGATGAAAGAATAATTTTGTTCAGATTAGAAATGTGTTTTCCCAGTTAACTATATTTTTCTCCCCAGGGTAAGAAGACAGTTCTACAATTGGCTGAGTGCACTTTTTCTTAAAAGTTTTTGTTTTAGCACAGAACTTCTTAAAGGTCATATAAGATGACCTACAGGCACACACTGACTACATGCCATTTCTTTATAAAAGCGCCCACAGATTCTTGTGACGCATTTCAAGCCCTGACTTCTATGATATAAATTTTATTAACAGAGGAACTAATTAGACAGAAAGTTTTAGATTCTTACAAAGATTTTTATGTTACAGGAACATTTTGTGGTTCTGGCTAGTAGATGTTTTTTAAAAAAATCTGATTATCTCTGCATGTCTGTATAATTTAGTCCCAATAATGTATAATTATATAAAATTTGATAGAGTAAAATGTAGAAATATGGTTCATATCTTGTATCCTCTTTTTTTTTTAGGTTTACAAGTTGTCCTGAACTCCATTATAAAAGCCATGGTCCCCCTCCTCCATATTGCCCTTTTGGTATTGTTTGTAATCATAATCTATGCTATTATAGGATTGGAACTTTTTATTGGAAAAATGCACAAATCTTGTTTTCTTATTGATTCAGGTAAGTCATTAAACTGTTGGTTATAGTAAGGGTTTGATGATGTTTTCTTTCAAATCTGTGGTATTTCAGTTTGAAATAAAACTTGGGGCCAAAGCACTAAAGTTGTTTTAACCCCAGTTTATACTGGTTCACAGTTTTAGGTACAGTGCATTAAATGAAACAAAAAAGAAACCCAATACCAAAGTCAGGAAAAAAATCAAACCAGTTAGAGACTGGACCATGCTCTGAACAGGTTTTCATTTCTGATACTTGTAGCTGATATACCAGTAGTGAAGAAAGTAAGGGTGACTAAATCTGGGCAAATCCAGATTGTTGTGGTGTGGTGAGGAGTGCAGTTCTGAAATGTGTGCTCTTCTGTCCAGGTGAAATAGTGAAATGGAAGTGTGTTGTAGGAGAACTTTGAAAGAGTGAAACTATCCTACCTGGTGGCTAAAGATGCTTTTTTATTCAGCTAAGTAATGAAGATGACTCTGTGTGGGAATTAGATCCATTTTTCCTTAATGGTCATGAAATGAAGTAGCAGCAGTGAAAAGGAAGGAAAAAATCGGCAGGAGGAGCTTCTAAGAAACTATGTATTATTATATTGTGCTTCTTTCCACTGCTTGCTTATTTTTATAAACCTATTTTTGAGGTTGTAAGGGCCAGATCTGAGAGAGACTAAAAGCTCCAAAGCTCTGATGTGCTGCTTTTTCTCAGCTTGAAATTGGGATTTATCTCACAACAGCATTGATATTTCCTCATGTGATGGGGTAACTCATGAAAACTTGAGGACTCACAGCTCTGATTTTGTGGTCCTTTTCCAGATATACTAGTTGAAGATGATCCAGCACCTTGTGCATTCTCAGGGAACGGCCGTCAGTGTGTCATGAATGGCACCGAATGTAAGGGTGGATGGGTTGGACCAAACGGAGGCATAACCAACTTCGATAACTTTGCATTTGCAATGCTGACTGTGTTCCAGTGTATAACCATGGAAGGGTGGACTGATGTGTTGTACTGGGTAAGTTCATAAATCACTGAGCTTTGTGTGCTTTTAAGCAAACTTCTCTGTTCAAGCGGGGATTGAGCTGTGTTTCACGGTACCATCAACAGGAAATCTTGGTGAGTTTTGCAGGAGACAAGCTCGGCTGCATACTTGTTTCAGTCACAGTCTGTTACTGGATTCCTCAGGCTAAAAGGACATTTTAGAAACAAATTTATTCATTGCTTATTTTAAGGGTTTTTTGCCTCTTCCATTTGGATAAATGTAAAACTACATTTATGTCCTTTGGACTAGCATTTTTTTGTGTGAGCCTACAGATATTAAGTATGTCTTCACTGATTAGGCTTAAGAGCTCTCTTTTTGCAGTATTTGTGCAGAATTTTTCACAATGTTAACATAAATTAGAACAATGCAAGCTCTCAACTGACATTGCTTGCCATGGGGACTGAAAATCATGTTAACCATTCAGAAACTACAGATTTACAGGAGCTGTGGCCCTGACATCATCTTCATGGAAGCAGCAAAAGGTATTCAAAAACCTAACTGTGTAAATCCTCATCTTTAAATGCTCCTTTGGTGTAAGGTATGGTACTTCCAGAGTCTTGCAACACCGACAGTCAGCTGGACACAGACTGGAAAACTGAAGAATGGAGGAAAATGAACACACAGAATTTTAAAGTAACAGAGTCACCTAAAACCACAGATAGACATGTCTCTGCTTAACCCCACTCCACTCTAAGTTTTGTGAACCTCAGAATGTCTCAATATCTGCTATGAGTGGTTTGTCCAAGGTTATTCAAGAAGTCTGTGATGGAACCTCTCAGAGGTGCTGAACATCAGTGAGAGTATTCTGTACTACTTGCTACTCAGCAGTAAGTCTTTGCAGCTATTAGGACCTTATTAAAAACCACAATTCTAACAGTTCAAATGGTAGAAAATACATATGGAAGAAAGAAGAGTGATTACTGGTAAGGATCTGTTAGCAAGCTGTTAAAAAGGGATGAGTAATCTCAAGGAGTATCTTAATGGAACTTTAGGTTTTGTTGCTGAGAGCAGCTCACTTTGTGAGTTTGTTCAAGTTTGTCTGGCTAAGCGGAATTATTTACTAATAGTGCCTCTATTGGGGAGTACTGGATGTATTTAAGAATGTGGTTTTACCCAGTGAATGACCACACAATTTTATGTAGTCATTTGTTGCAAATCAAGGTGAAATAAGCTCTTGCTAAAACATATAACACAGTGTAGTCTCAGATAAAATCAGTGATACTGAAGTATAGAATATGGACATGTTTTTAGGCCACTATCACTGTTAAAGATAATAAGGTGGTAAAATGACATTCTTTTAGGATTGAAAGACAAAAAAACAAAGGCAACTATGGATGTCTTCTTCCACTCTCTGTTATCAGTTACAGAATTGGCTAGGAGAATACAAACCTTCAACACTAATGAATAGCAATTATGTATGGCTACATATACAGCATGATTTCCCATTGTAAAGGTTTTTCAGTTCCTTGGAGTTTGCACTCCAACTCTCCCTAATTTTCTAGGGGACTCTGTGAATGTAGAATTAATATGTGCTTTATGGTTTGTGTTCATGGCGATGGCAATTATTTAAATTCTTCCTGAAAAGGGAAGGTGTGCCATGGCTATCTAGAAAAAAATTACACCTTTAGTATCTTTTGAGGCAAAAGAAAACCAGCATTTCAGGAGCTGACAATTCATCCAACTTTTTTCAAAGAAAATGGATATAAAAGCTTTGGAGAGTTGCTCTGTTTAGAATACAATTGTTACAAAACATGTAGAAACGATTTTAGTGTCTTAGAATTAAACGTTTTTTCCCCTGGGATTTGATGCCCTAATTAATCTGCTGCCCTTTAGAAACCTTTGCAGAGTCTCCAGTGACAGCAGAAAAAAATCATTAAAATAGGATGTTGAATATTTTCTAAAATAGGATGTTGAATATTTTCATGATCAGACAAAATGAAAAGTTTAAGAAAATTATAAACAATTGAAAATTATGCATGTTGTTTTTACTTCTTTCTCTATAAGGAGTTTCCAATGTAGAATGTATTTACAGGTACTTGGGCATCATTTTTCATTTTATTACGAATGATTTTGGGATTATTAGACAGTGAAGCAAATATTTATTGACCTAGTGAAATACAGTCAAAATCAGATATTCAGGTGGCTTTTGAATCTATCTTAACTGATGCCTATATAATTAAGTTATGCATTCAGATTATTTTTATCTTATAGACCAACAAGTTGCCCATTGTCAAACTGAAATTACTTTCTGAGGACAAGAGAAGTGACAATTTGTGTTTTAATTTTATCACTGGATCAAGCTGGGGTAGATTTAGCTAAAAATTGGAAATTCATTTGAAAATTGTAAAAGCATTAGGGGGATACCAAGTTGTAATAAAAGGATATGAGGAAGCCATTTTAGCTCGATGTGCATGGATTTGGTGGGTTTCTTTTTACTTAGAACTCTGTTATTAATATACAGACTGAATGAGTTTTATACAAAACAAATAAAACCAAACCCACAAATATTAGAAACTGCACAAAATTCTCATTTTTCATTTGGTCACTGTGTGAACAGTGAAATAAACTTATGTAGGCTTCTTTTGCTAGCAGGTGTAATGTGAGTGGGTGAAATCTGTGCAATATTTTGCACTGTGTTAAGCGGCATTCTGTCAGCAAGGACGACAGCTGAAAATGACAGCTTCCAACAGCACTCACTGGCACAGCTCATTATCACCTGGTTAATGACAGTCAACTTGCTCTGAAAATTCTCCAAGCACCAATAATGATTTTTCTCCTATGCATCTCTGTTGTGAGTTGAGGCCTTGATTCTGCTGCTGCTGGGCCCCCTTCAGATTGTCATGACTCATGTGGGCATCCTACTGCTCACCAGTTTGCATCCCAATCCCATATGTCCTGCTGGGTTTTAGTGTCCAATCCCATATGTCCTGCTGGGTTTCAGTGTCTTCTGGCCTCTTTACTCTCTCTAACTTGTAACTCACTGCATAGCAGGCATTACAGGGTTTGTCCACAAAAACTACGACTCCTTAGTGGCAAAGGTTTGAATTGAGAAGTTACGAGGTGTTCCTGTACTCAGCAGCCAGTGCAGCACGTGTGCTCCTAAATTGTGTGTTTGTGGCTGTGCATCACAGTGTGTCCTCCTCTTCTATTGGGACTGTGTTTATTCCCAGTCATGGTCCTTTCAGTTTCCTCTGGAGCCCTCACTGGAGGCTCAGGCTTTCTGTTTTGGATCCTGGTGCAGTTCTTGTTATCAGCTAAATGGCAGCCTCTGTGTGCCCAAGTTTTTAATATCTGGCTCGCATTCCAAAGCTGAGAGCACCTCTCTACCTCATTTCCAGTTTATGCTAGCAAGCTCTGAGGAACTGCAGAACTTGAATCTCCATTTGCATATCTGGCTCCAGATTTTTCCCATGCCTTCGAAATCTATTAATGGCAAACACGCATTTTGTGAATTGCTTTTTAATTTTAGTTGCTTCATTTGATACTTGGGAACACAGGTAACAAGCAGCAATACTTGCCAGCAAAACCCCCTGTTTTCCCATGAGCACCAAAATGATCACATTTTATTCTTCTTGCCACTGTAGTAAAGTTATTTTGACTTCCTACACTTGAATAATCCAACTCTAGCTTGAAGGAGAGATGGTCAGGGCCTTTGAGAAACAATTACTTCATGGGATGGGTTGCCAGCATAGATCCTTCAAAGATGGGACAAATGTATTAGTGGCTACTGAATTTTAATTTAATGACTAGGTCAATTTTATGGTTAGATGCTGCATTGCCAACTTCAATTTTAAAGCTCTCCAGTTCTCTAATAACTGTCTAACACTGTTCAGATTGATCTGGAGATTTCTGAGATTGAAGCACTCGAGCTAAAATTGCTGAATAATGACACACTGTCTTACATGGTTTTGCCTATTAACACACCTACTGATATGTTAACAAGATATTTGCTGAAGGATTCTTGTATAAAATACTGAGATCATTACTTGAAATGTCTAGGCAATCTAAAATATACCTAAAATTCATAGAAGGTTTAAGGAAAGGGATGGCAGGTTTTTAAAAAATATACCTTTTACTGATATGTCAACTTTTAAAAACTGTTTCTACTTTTTTTGATAATAACATATATTCATTGTTCCTCTGCTTTTATAACAAAAAAGGGTGCAGTTAGGAACCTGTCTCCTGTTTAAGAAATTAAGCTTTTCCAATATACTCCTTGAAACATCTTAGAACATCTGAGAAAAATCCATCATTTCTGTAACACAGACTGTTCAGGCTGTGCCGCACTCTTGTGCATGTCTACATGCACTTTTGCTGAAGTGTCTGCACAGCCACTGCATCAATGTCAGTCAGATCAGGTCAGGAGCTCAATCTCTACTCCTGGCACCTTTTAGAATTCTCCTGTTCAAGGATATTTAAAGGTAGACTCAGATATAGTGTACTTGAAACCAGCTGATGTACAGCCAAAGGTATTTCCTAAAGACAAGCAAATGTTTTACAAATACATATCACACAAGAAAACTCCCTGCACAAAATGTATTAATAGGCTACAAACAAAAAACTGGGAAATATGTTTGAAGTATTATCAAAACTGTCATCAGAATGCTGACAAGGAGTCTCCTAAAAATACCTTTACAAAAATGTGACCAGGAGTCAAATAAGCAACAATAGTCTAGAACTTTGAGTTTAATGATTTAAGAAGCTGGTGGGAATCAACTATTTAGGGTGATTTAAGCTGTGTTAGTCCCATTCCACCCACAGAAAGGGAAGGCAAGTCCCTGCATCTAAACAATACTGGTCAGCAGTGAATTTCAGCTTATTGTCTGAGAGAAGGCAAAGATTGCTCCATAGGTCTTTTCCATTTGTAAATCAGTAAATTGCAAATATTCAACTGTGTTAAAAATTGTGAGGAAACATGCCTGAAAAATCTTCGAAAATACTTATTCCTGCCTTTTCCTTTTCCCCTTAAGTAC